CATTATATAGACCATCCATTTTCTAAGATTTTCTATATATTTGTAGATCTACTTGATTTTAACCATTTTTGTATATTTAAATTTTATAATTAGATATAAATTAGATTTTAAGATAATACTAAGAATTTTTATTAACAAATTACATGTTATGATAAATTTTAGGGTGCGTCTTGATTGGATTGTTTAAGGTTGCATCTTTATAGAAACCCACCCTATATATATATATATATAGAAAAAAGCTGGGGTTAGCCCATTAGCTCATATGAACATATAAGTCCAACGGTCCAGATTGAATCTGGGTCGATCTGACAATCACTGATGTTCGGTAATGCTTGAATTTTATGTTTTTTTTCTACAAATCCAAATCTCTTGAAATTTTATATGTGTGTTCTTCTCATCAAGGCGCACTTAATAAAAATATTATTAGCGAAAAGAAAAATGACCAAAAATGCCCCTTAAATTTTTTGGGGGTATTTTGGTCAATTTATTTAATGTAAAATATTTTTTTGATATTTTTTGAAGATTCACTTATTTTTGATGAACTCACGTCTAAATTTCAAGTGATTTCGATTTGTAGAAAAAAAAAAAATAAATCAAACACTACTAGATATCTGTGATCGTCAGATCGGCCTAGATTCAATCTAGACCAATGTCGGGGTTAGCCCACTAGCTCATATGAACATATGAGCCCAACGGTCCAGATCAAATTTGAGCCGATCTGACGATCACGACTTCATTTTGTATTTGAATTTTAATATTTTTTCTGCGAATCCAAATATTTTGAAATTTTAAGTGTGTATTTTTCTCATCGGGTCACACCTAATAAAAATATTTTAAAATAATTCGTAAAACATAAATTGATCAAAATACCCCCAAAACATTTCAGAGGTAGTTTGGTTAATTTATGTCTTGCAAATTATTATTTTTATATTTTTATTAGATTCTCATGTTTTTAAAAAATACACGTCTAAAATTTTAAATTATTTGGATTTGTAAAAAAACATTAAAATTCAAATACGAAATGAGATCGTGACCTTCAGATTGAATCTGGGCCGTTAAGCTCCTATGTTTTTATGAGCTAGTGGGTTAATCTCAGCATTTTTTCATATATATATATATATATATGGGAAAATATGGGATTAGCCCACTAGCTCATAGGAACATATGAGCCCAACGTCTTAGATTGAATTTGGGCTAATCAGATGATCACAGATGTCTGGTAGTGTTTAATTTTTTTTTTTTTACAAATACAAATCACTTGAAATTTTAGGCGTGTGTTCATAAAAAATAAGTGAATCTTTGAAAAATATCAAATAATGATTTTACATAAAATAAATTGACCAAAATACCCCTGAAAAGTTTCGGGGGGTATTTTGGTCATTTTATTTTTTACGAATAATTTTTTATATATATTTTTATTAGGTGCGCCTTGATGAGAAGAACACTTACTTAAAATTTCAAGTGATTTGGATATATAGAAGAATAAATAAATTTCAAGCACTATCGTACATCCGTGATCGTCAGATCGGCCCAGATTCAATCCGGGCCGTTGGGCTCATATATTCATATGAGCTAGTGGGCTAATTCCAAATTTTTCCTTATATATATATATATAACAATGATATCATGCAGCAGTTGTATAGTAATATGATGCAACAAGGTTAAAAAACCATGGCCATTTGTTTGATCCAAATTTTGAAATATACACTCGTTTCGTTCTAATGAACAATCACAAAAATTGAAAACACGACTTATAAAGTATTTTTTTAGCCCAATTAACATAAGCCGTTCATTTTGGTGAGATGTTTAGATCTAGGCCTTAGAAGGATTTGTTTCATTTCCAATTTTTTTGGATGACTTTATTATCATTAGATGAACAATGTTAAAAAAATAAAAATAAAAAGGATTTTGTGTGTATAAAGGCTAAGATCTTGAAATTCACAAAATGAATGGTCTAGATTCGTTTTTGGAGATGACTCATTTTGACCATAGCCAGTGTTCAAATTGAACTATTTTTTCTTGGGGGATTGATTATTGAGATAAGAGAGTGTGTATGCAAAATTTGGGGTTATACAAATACCACAAACATGGTTTTTTAAAAGTGTCGTTGCATTATATTATGATACAACTGATGCATTGGATCATTGCTCATATATATATATATATATGATAATGAACAATGTACAATGAGACTATTTACTTTTTATACAAAATGATCACAATTAGTCTTGATTGGATGTGAAATTGGGTGGCTACATTAATTCCATTGACCAAGCACAAAGTTCGAAAGAAAGTTTCTATACATATGTACTTCACACTATCACACTACATAAAATATAGAAAAACATTTTCAAGTAAAAAAAAATAATTAAAATACAAGTATTAACATATATTTTCAACCATCTTATCAATATTTGACGGATGGGAATTAACATAAGTTACTATTTATTTTAGGTAGTATATATATTTAGGGAAAATATATAAGGAGACATTTTATTTTTGGTACAAAGTGGTCACAATCAATCTTGAACATTGGATGTGAAATTGAGTGGCTACATTTATTTCATTGACCAAGCTCAAAGTTCAAAAGAAATTTTCTCAAATTTTGTCTATCAGATTTCACATTAATAGTTACAAGTAAGATATTGTATACAATGAGGCAATTTACATTTTATACAAGGTGGTTACAATTCAAATTTGATAGCTTGGATGTGTCACAAAGTATGTGAAAATTTCTTTTAAATTTTGAGTTTGGTCAATGGAATAATCGCAGCCACCGACTTTCACATCTAATAGTCAAGATTAATGTGACCATCTTATATCAAAAAGTAAATGGGCTCATTCTATCTTTCTCTACAAATAATTGTGACCTTTTCGTACCAAAGGTAAATAGTATCATTAGCCCATATATGACCCATGCATTCACTGGCCCACATGGATATGCCCACGCATTAATACACGCCTGCATCTACAATTCGTGAACAACTTTCTACGGGGGTGTGTGATACATGCACATGTGTCCATTGGTTTTTAGTTTTTCTGTCCGTTTGAAGATAACGCCTTTACTCCTTGTGACCAATAACCTGCTTGGGAGTATTTACTCGTATGCAATTTTGGTCCATTTTAAAATCACGTGGCGAGTATTCTCACATAAAGATGGCACTTGAACATTTAAATCTACCCGTTTGTAAATGTATCAATGAGACCATACTTTTAATCCAAGAAAGTCATAATTATTGTTGATCACTAGATTTGAAATTGATAGTTGAAGATATGTCACAAAGTCTAAAATAAATTTTTTTGAATGTTGTGATACTTTCATTTGTTAGATTTCACATCTATTGGCTAAAAACGATTATAATCTCTTTGTACCAAACATTAATAGTCTCTGGTATACAATCCCCAAAAGAGTGAATGTAGGATATGCTTGCACAGGAGCAAAATGTACATTTACTCCTTTGGGTAAAATTTCAGTTAGGAGTATTTTTAGGATCCCAAATTTTGAGATGTGCACACACATACAGACAGGCACACATACACACACATATGCAATATGCACTCACTCAAATAGGGCCCCAAAAGAAATCACCTCCTAAGATTTAAGAAATAACATAAAAAAATTGGATGGTTTAACCAAAAGTGTTTAGAAACTCAAATTCTACTCGTCTAATCTATTAGTATATATTTTCGGGAAAATTACAAAACACACCCTAAAATAGACTATCTATACAACTTACACCACCCCAATATTTTTTCTCACTTTTTTCCCCAAACAACCTTTCCTTGAAAATAACCCGCCCAACCCAAAAGTAGCATGAAATAAAACTAAACTACCCTTGTTTGTTTTCAGATGGCCTTCTCTCTCTTGTTTTTGCACGCGCTTCGGCAGTACAAACATGCACTCCGACATTCTGATTGTGTGCTCCGGCAATGCAGGTCTGAGCCGCAGCGCTCCAATAATGCAGGTCTGAGCCGCAACACTTCAGCATTATGAAAACTCGCTCCGGTAGTGCAAAGACACGTTCCGGTATTCCACTCCGACAATGAAGTCTCTGGAGCCACAACGTTCCGGCAATGGAGGATCGTGCTCCGACATTCTGAATATGCGCTCCGGCAATACAGGTCTGAGCCACAACAATCCGGCATTATGAGAATGCACTCTGGCAGTACAAAGACATGCTCCGACAATACGTTACTTGGGACCCGTGAATTGATTTGGTTTGTACGGGAAGGACATTTCCGTCCAAAAAAAACAATTTTTTATCTTGAAGGGTTTTTGCAAGGAAATGTTGTTTTGGAGAGACAAGTGAGAGAAAAGTTTGGGTGGGAGGAAGTTGCATAGATAGCCCAATTTAAGGTGTTTTTTGTAATTTTCCCCATATGTTTTTTGTTAAAGTTGATAGAGCAGTCCTAAGAGCACACTATATATAGGGGTGGCAATGGATCCGAACCCGACCCGAGACCCGCCGGGTAGACCCGACACAGGTCCCAATATGGGTCCGACATTTAGACCCAACGGATAGGGTCCAAGTCCATTTCGAAATAGACACGGGTTGGGTATGGGTTCTAATGGACTCAACCTAGATTTATTATATAAAAATTTATATTAACGTTATATGGTGAGAGCTCGAGGTTTGCAAGTTCTTTGGCTTTTTGCAGATAGCCAGGCCACGATGGACACAGTGGCCATGTCACTTCTCTGGCGAAGTGACATGGGATCCATTTTACACCATCTTGGCTGCTATGGACGGAAAACCTGGAAATGCATAGTCCAAACCCCGATCCCCAATCTTCTCCAAACGAACCTTTTGAATGTCCTTAAGGTTAGCTTAACCTAAATGAGACCCATTTTTACGGCCACCATTTGTGAGACCCAATTGCAAGGGTCTCACAAATCTCTTGTCTAGGGTTTCGCAGCCTGAATTTCCAGGTATGGGTCTAGTCCCAGGTCCTAAACAACATTCTGGGTACAGGGACGAGTTTGAGGCAGGGTCCGGATTCAACAGGAACCGACCCATTGCCACCCCTAATTCTACACTTGCTCCCTCAAGCAAAAGTTGACAAGGGAGGATTTTCGTGATCTGGAATTTGATCTATTTTAGAAGCATTAAAGCAGTGTTCACCAAAAAAATAAAAAAAATCGACTGATCGATTAATTTTTTGTAACATGCTTTATTTTTCTTTGACAAATAAGTCCGCATTCATCGGCATTTCCCCAGAATTTTACGCATCCTTCTACAGAAAAGTCCCAAAAAAAGAAGAATTTGAGCCTTTACACACTTGGATCGGACTATCAGAAAATTGTACAACATATGCGATGCGAACCTACTGGAACATACAATTTTTTACATATACTCCTTGGGCATGTTTGCATGTACTCGTAAACACTGATAATTCACTACTTTAATAAATTTATCCCTACATGAATGATCTGCTATTTAACCATCTGTACTAGAAAGCTAATTGAGATAGCAGTTTCACATATTAGTTTATCTTATTTGAGAAGTTATCTAATTCAAAGTAATTTATGAAAAATCATATCTTTTAAACTAAAAATAACTGAAAATACCAAAAAAAACTAAATAATTAAATAATCTTATACATAATATAAAATACATATCAAAATGATAATAGAATAACATTGCGTATTATATTAGTTTTGGATAATATGATACACTCTAAACAAAATTAACTGCCATTCCAATAGCTAAATGTTATATGATTTTACAATATGTGCCCCGGCCACACCTTGGTAACTTTCCATATAAAGATAAGACCTCAAAACTGGTTTTTCAAGATCTTCGGTAGTTTTCTTGTACACTAGGCAAATATTCTGAATCTTATGATTAAGACTTCTGTACAACTCATCAACATATCATAAACCACAGAATTTGATGGCTAAGCTGGGGAATTGACCCTAAATCCAGGTTGGTTCAAGGCCATGGCTCTGGAAGATAAGCTCAATTTCACCTTAAAAACAAAAAGAAAAGAAAACGAGAAAGAAAAAAAATTAAATTATAAGAGGATAAGTGATTTGACAAAGTTCAATTAGGGCTTGAACCTAGAACCAAGGAGAGCACAAGAAGATACAGTGACTTGAATTGAAGGATCAATGCTCCATGGCAAATGCAGATAATGACCATTCCTCTGAAACCGATAGAAACAAACAACAATATAAAGGAAAAAGAAACGGAGTAAGTTGAGCCCAAACAATTTGAAAGCAAGGGTTATTCCAATTTCACAGATGAATATACAAACCAGAATTTCAGGTGTCCAAGGTATGGTGATCTGTCAACTGCCTCCTTAATATGTGGGAATCGACATGCCCACCTAGCATAGCCTGAAGAAGGATAACTAAACAGTAAATTATCTTAATTCAACGAAAAGGAGATAGCAGGAACTCTCTCTCTCTCTCCAAAAACAAAAAAACACAGAGCATCTATGCTAAAAACCAGAAATTGTACAACATAAATATTAGTCCATAATTGATACAAGCAAGTGATTGGGTACCTGCAATAATTATTTCATGAAGATCCAGTTCGGAGTTCACATCGTCAACCACCTCACCCTACAAGGACAGCAGAATGGAGGATAGGTGAGGTGAACACATTTTCAGTGAAGATCCAACCCTTACAGTGATTGAAGTTGATAAAAAAAATTTGGCAAGAGAATCAGTTGGCCAGCAAATTTAATTTATATCCAATAAATTAGCAAAATTAATAGAAAAACATTAAATAATAAAATACAAAGAAATAAGAAAAGCACACTCTGTGCCAGATAAAGTAGTAACTTAATTTTTTAAGTGAAGTGGTATTTGGGGCATTATTTAAAGATACCCAAGAAGCCTCGGGCTAAAAATGCGTCATGGTCATTAGGGTTTTCTCTTCCCATTGGCTGCTAAAACTCTCAATGGTTTTCATAAAAAAAATCAATGAATGAACCCACCCCAATGAAGTCTGATTTCACCAATTGTAGCAAAAAATCAGCAATTTTTTGTCCGAAGTGAATAAGGCTTGAAATAGGAATAACAAGACAATCAGATCCCAGTTTAAACAAAGTTCATAAAAGCGAACTTACCTGCGCATATAATTCCAAACTTTTCACAATTAGCTGAGATAGACTTTCATGAGTGGGAGGATAAGAAACTGGAAGCTTTAACAGCTTTTCTTCAGATGTCAAGTCAAGGATCAAAGAGCATACACTTGAAGCCACTGTGATAATGGAAATATCACTTCTGCAAACTGTAAAACATATTAAACTAAAATTAATCATATTCCTATATGTGAAATAATTCTTGTGTTCGAACAGTCAAAAGTGGAGACGACTAACATGGTTATTTATGTTGGTCAGTGCACAAACAGCAGGGGAGAGGGTGGCAATAGACAAAATTACTAGCAGTGCGGATTATACACAGAGACACA